TGAGAAATAAAAGAAACTAATGACAAAGGTAGTAGATGGGATATTTTAGAATCCCCAAGACTTGGGTGGAATTCAATATTGGTACATGCTAACATAAAGGGAATATACCTATTATGTGTGGAAGTAATCTGAAAAAAAAAAGACAGACACGCTCCTTATGGAAATTGGAGGGCCCAAGAGGGTAAAAGGGTTAGCAGAGCATAGGGTGAGGATATAAATACAGATACATGGAATAAGGTGACCATGGTCTCAGAATTTATAAGATCCAGTGAGAAGATGAGATAAACATAGTCAGGATTGTACCCTAGACTTTGAGAAGAAAGATTCAGAAACAATTTGGAGAATATCCTTTATTTCTTGTTGGTGGATAATGCAAATTACATAAGTTTTTTTCTCTCTTCTTCCTTTCCTCCCTTCCTTTCTCTCTGTTTCTTTTCTACAAGAAAATGCCTCACTTATTTTAGGTGAGTCAATAAGAGATATTAAATTTTAGCCTTTAGAAATTGAAATTTACCAGTACAAGGGCCTGGGGAAGGTGTTCAGGAGGGAACCCAGCTGTGGGCACTCCCACTGTATTCTGGGAGGATGTTTAGTTATTAGGTATCATCAGGGCTGTCTGCTGGTTGTGCTTTTCTCATGCTGTTATTCATACTTGTCAAATATAGATGACAGCTTGTTTTGTTTCATCATTATTAATTTAGATTGTTATATATTACTAGATGAACCTTACAGTGTTTTGTTGGCCCTCTTGTGGGAAATGAAAATATTTGCATCACTTGTATTTTGAAACTATAGTTCTCTAATAACTATATTTTAAAAAGATGGATGTTATTGGGGATTCTAATGTGAAATAGCAACCTATTATGGTTAAAGCAGCTGTAGACATTATCTTTATCCCCCAAAATGTTATACATTTTAGTGTTAACACTAGGGTCAGACTGACTAGTTTGAATCGTGGTCTCACCAAAGCTGTGTAAGCCTCACTTTATTTACAAAATGGGAATAGTAGGACCTACTTCAGTGAAGACTAATTGACATCATGCATGTACACATATAGACAATGCTCAGTAAAATGGGAACTAGTAGTTAGCAATAGTTAAAGAGTGCTTACAATGTGCTAGGCATCTTTTGAAGTCCTCAGAAAACTCCATGAGCTAGGTATTACTATTATCCTTGCTTTACAGACAAGAAACAACCTGAGGCACAGGGCATTTAGGCAATGCTCAAGATCACAGAATCAATAAGTGGCAGAGAGGGGATTTGAGCCCAGAAGGTGTGGTTCTAGATCTATTGCTAGTGACCACCTGACTACTTAGGATAACAAGAACACAACATTTCTTTTCCAAAGGGATCCTGCAATGAGATCAAGGTCAAGTGAGTGGTCTGTGTTCATCTGCAAAGTGTTTATCTCCTCACTTGCTGTGGATATCTGGAGGGGCTGTGTCTTGCTTACCCCCAAACCCCCAGAATTTAGCTCAGTCCTTGCTCTATGAATGGCTGAGTCAAGGCCTTCCTTCCCCTCATTGACCCTTTTCACCATCCTAGTCTTTGCCGAGGCTGCTAACATAGGATTGTGAAACAATACTAACAAAGCACGGCCCTTGGGCAGGGGTCTTTCTGGATTCCACTCGGGCTCCAATGCTCCTCCAGCATAACTTGTCGAAATTCTATGAGTTCAGGCTTCCTCTGGGATGGAAGCCATCCAGTCGAGCATCTGGAAAATGTCAGTTTCCACCAGTACTTCTGAAAATCTATGGAGCTCACTGATGATAGCTTTTTGGTCTTGACATGAACCCTAGTGATAGCCTATAAGAGAGGAAATAGGGATCCCAAGGCATGATGCTATTTGCTGGAGCTGGCTCAGACAGTGAAGGATAGATTCCAGACAGGAAGGCAGGACTCCTGACACTGTCCAGTGTACCTTTCAACTTGCATTTATGGACAATCTGGAATATTACAGATTTGACAGTATAGGCTTTGCTTATATGTGACATAACATTTGGATTAAAGCTAAAAAATCCAAACAAATATTTATATGTTGCCTTTTTAATTAATAGAAACTGTAGCTTTAAAAGGCTATTTTAACAATGAGCATGTTTAGGACTTACATAAAGACATTTGTAGAATACTCATGGGCAATACAACTATGATAATATTACTGAAGGTACCCAGTGAGATCTGTGAAAATTCTGTACAATTAGTGTTTTATTTTACACACCATAAATCAAGTAAGTGTACTGCAAAAGATGAAAGACATTCAAAACATTCAAAATTGTATCATCATTTGTGGAAATTGCTAAACATCCATGAAGCAAACTAGACAGTGCTTTGGACAAACTCAAATGATGCCACTAATGGAAACTTTAGAAAAGAGCATTTGAATCCAGGTCCATTAAAATATTACTTTAACAAATGAGCCATTTGTGAAATTGGATTTTCAAACAAATGACTTCTCCATATTTTGAAATGAGTGGCTTACATTTTGCTTGGAAAGGAAGAAATTTGTGAATGTAGGGGAAATATATTTTCCTAGTGACTATATTAATAGTGGTCAGAGATAACAGTGATTATCAATTAATCAATGCCAGGCAAGTACTAGATGTATGACCCAATTCAAGCTGTTGCTCCTTCCCCAGAGTTGCCTCTTTCCTTTGCACATATTTCTAGTATGATTTAGTCTTACCCTTAAAATGTAAATGGCCAATGAGCTCCTAGGGGTAGATACCCTGCCTCTTTAATTTCCTTTTTCAAACAGGTGAGTTGAGTATTTAGTGTCACAGGTGGAATGAGTGGCAGATCCAGGATTAGGACTCATCCTTTAATTCCAAATTCTGTGGAAATAACTGGAGATCAATCAAATGAGAGAACAGGCTGGTTTTTTTTTCTGAACTTGGTATAGCAAAGGAGTCAGCCACCATCACTTATATTTTGAAAGAGACTCAGGGGCAGGCAGAGGAGTGGAAAGCTTTCCCATGGAAAAGGGAAGGCTTCCTGTGAGCCCTGATTGGAGGCTGTTGGTATGAGGAACCTCTGGGAGGGACAACTGGAATTGGGGCATCCTAAGCAATTGCTTAGTGGTACATTTTTGACTAATTCTGGTGGGTCCTAATTTAGAAATGGGGACAAAAATTAGGAAAGCTAGCCCTGGCCGGGTAGTTTAGTTGGTTAGAGCATTGCCCCATACGCCAAGGTTGTGGGTTTGATCCCCGTCAGTGGACATACAAGAAATAACCAATGAATGCATAAATAAGCAGAACAACAAATCGATGTTTCCCTCTCTCTCTTTCTCTCCCTTCCTCTTGCTCTAAAATAAATAAAAAAAAATTAGGAAAGCTATCAGTTATTAGTAAAGTCCTGCCTGTCTGGGGCTTTACAGACAAATACATACCGATGTTACAGCAGTCAACATCTGACTTCTTGGACCTGTTGTTAGATAGTGTCTCACTTTCTACAAGTTTGATGTATAGGGAGCAGGTGGGTTTCCTGTGCAGGTTACTGTAGGTAATGGTTCGGTTGTATGGGCCTGTTGCTGTAGACTGCGAATCAGAATTCAAATGGATTCACATGGGTCATTTTTCTATGCGGTGTGGCCAGTGTTCATTTGTGTACTCAGTCTGTCGGTTTGGTTCTCTTCCTTCTAAGTCGGGGAGGGGGCGGGGGAGGGGGGGAGCAAACTTTCTGCAAAAGACTGGAGGACAAAGATTTCAGCTTTGTGAGCCATGAAGTCTCTGCTGCAATTACTCAACTCTGACATTTTAGCAAAAAGGCAACCACGGACAACGTGTAAACAAGCGGGGTTGGCTGTATCCCAACAAAACTTTATTTACACAACCAGGCAGCAAGCTGTATTTCACCCTGGGGCTGTGGCGTGCCGACCCCTGTTGTATAGTGAAGAGTCTGCGCAAAATCAACAAATATGCAAACAACAGCTGCTGCCGTGTCGTGACTCATTTCCTTTAGGCCTGCTTTCATGCTATTGAGACTCTGAGCGTTGTGGTCTAGTTTCTCAGTGGTGTTGTATTCAAGAAGGATGGTTGAACAATAAAAAAATCCTATATTTCATTATTTTTTCCTTCCTCTCAACAGACGTTATGTGGGACCCATTTAATAACTAAAGTGATCCTTCTTATAACGTTGTTTTCCTTCTGTCCTATTCCTCTGTGGCTCATACTTCATTTTAAGAACCTCTTATTTGTCAAACCTGGCAAAGAAATCCTCTGTCAGGCACCGTGAATCAGCAGAAAGAACCATCTTCCACTCCGTATGTCACATGTCAGACAAGAGTAGAGGAGAGCAACACTGTGAAATTGGTAAAGGTGATCTGTCCTTAGCCTGGTCTCCTCATGTTGGCAACATGGGTGCCACAACTCCAGGCATCATAGATAGAAAGTTATCCAGAGGCGGTAGAGGCCATTTCTTCCTTGTATCATCTTAAGAGTGAAGAACCCTCTTCCAGAAGCTTCCTAGCAGACTCATCCTCATGTTACAGTGGCCCGATTGTATCACATGCTCTTGCCTAAGTCCATATTGGGTAATGGGGCCATCATGACTGGCTTGGATTAAGCAGTAGTCATCTGCTGAGGTTGGGGTTACATCTTGCTTCCTCTGGTACCTGTGGCCTTGCAGAGGATGGTGGATGTGAATGAGTGAAGTTGAAATTCTGTAAGAAGGATGAGAGAGAGGGGTCAACATTGAAAAGCCAATCAGCTGTATTTTTGGCAAGAGGCAAAGGGGCAGGAAGAGAAATGGCTTTGGAGAAAACAGACATCCTATAAGGAATCCATTTCTAGGTTTTTAGCATTCCTCAAAGTAGAATTAGTCAGGTATTCCTTTTTGTGGAAGACAAAATGCTTGAATTTGTTGAAAAAGAGTTGTCTCTCATCTTTCTCCAAGCACATTACCTATCAGGGAAGAATAGGTAACAGCAATGTTATCAAATTGGCAAAGACAATTGGTCCTCTCCAGACCAATTTTGATGCCTTCTTTCCCTGTTTCCACAGTATCTCTCTCTAGTGCACTGAGTACCTTGCAGACTTGACCAGGAATGCTTTGAGCAGAGGGAACTCCGGATATGGAGATGGAAATACCTGTTGTGAATACTAGTTATGACACTTACTAGTCCATGACCTTGGGCAAGCTACCTAACAGCAGTTGGTATTAGTTATCCTACCTGTAATGAGGCAAGAGGTCTGCCTTCCTTGTTTATGTAGTTGTTGTGAGAATTAAATGAAATAATGTTTCAGTGCCTATGGCACATAGACACTAAATAAATATTTTGTTTTTTCTTTGGTTGAACCAAACTTGTCTACTCATTGCTTCTGAAATCACTTGTTTGTTTTATGATTTTATTCCTTCACATGTTGCTCATGACATTTTTTCTTCTCATTCTTTCACCCCCTCCACTTGCAATGACTTTTCATGTCCTCTCTACCTTGGCCCTTATCTTTGGTCTGAAGTCTGGCTTGACTCCACCTTGCTTGTGAAGCCCTCTTCTCCATTCCAGATCCAGTGTACCATTTTCTGAAGGAGTCCTCAGGTGCTGTGGGATTAAAGATATTGCTGGGGAAGCCCTCATGGCATCGATAGAGCTGCAGATCACCATCACCCAGGAAATAAGTGATCCTCAGCATTGTAGGAGCAGCGAAACCAGAAGGCTGCAGCTCTGGGATCGAGGCTCACATGAAAAATGGAATAGGAGCCCAGGAAAAAAAACAGAGAGAGAAATTATACTGGCAGCCTTGGGCAAAAGTCCTGTTTCTTCCATATGCCTTTTTTTTTCATGGACGAGTTATATATGGTATTTATTTGAGCATCAGTCTTCTCATCTTCAAATTGAAGTTTATACACACCTCTTCTCCCCCCCCCTATTCTTTATGGGTATGTAAACTCCAAAGAGGCAGGGGCTATATTTTATCTTTAATTTGCCAATTATATCTAACTCATAGTATACTACCTGGTTTCCCAGTGGGAGCAATACTTTCTTATTGAAAATAGAATGAATGTTAAATAAGAAAGCATGGATGTAAACATTTGTTAACTTAAGGTCTGATACAAATGTAATGTATTCTGTCACCACTTCCAAGAGCTTATCACTGATCTCTACACATTGTGGTCAGGCAGTTCATGTCAGCAGGTGGGCCACGTGTCCCCTGTGGAATGTAAACACACTGTGAGGTCGTGTTAATCAAAATCTGGAATCTTTTAGAGGAGAGCGCCTGTCATGTGTCAGATCATCACCTACGAGTCAAGTCTTGCCTTCAGGTTGTCTAATGCCTGATGTCAGATAGGTAACGAGCATGCCTCCATCTGCCTCCTCCACACTCAGAGAAGACATAGCTTATTTATTAGTATTATTATTTTTTCTATGTTAAAGGAAGACAAGTGTTGTTGTTGTTTTCAATATATTTTTATTGATTTTTTTAGAGAGAGGAAGGGAGAGTGAGATAGAAGCAGTGATGAGAGAGAAACATGGATTGGCTGCCTGATGCATGCCCCTGACCAAGGATTGAGCCTGCAACCTGGGCATGCACACTGACTGGAATTGAACTGTGACCTCCTGGTTCATGGGTTGATGCTCAACCACTGAGCCACACTGTCTGGGCAGACATAGCTTATTGATCATGATACTTACCACTGGACATGATGTCTACTTTCTTTTAAAACCATCTTTATAGGCAGCTGCTATATATTAAGCAGAACTGATCAAAATTCAATTTAACTTGAAGCCTATGTGTTATCTCTGGTCTTAATTCAAGTGTCTTCTCTTTTTGCTTGTTGGCTTATTTTCCTGAAGGTCTCCATTGGTGGAATCACTGCAGTCTCCCCTGTGGATCATGTCTTTGTTTTCTGCGTTGGCCTTCAGCAAGTTCTCCTGTCCAAATACAATCTCCTGCTGGAAAAGCAAGGCTGTCCTTATCCTTCAACCCAAACAAATATCTCAAAGAAATATGATTTGGTTTTGCTTCGGAGAAATAAGAGAAATATCAAAGGGGGAAATAAATCAATCCACCTCTGTGAGATTCCTGTGAAATTTATTAGAAACAAGCTCCGGTGAATGCAGAGGTTGCACCTTGAACACCAGTTTCGCTTTCAAGCACGCCGCCCTGCTTCTGTAATGGGCTGCACTTACCCACACTTTTTATTTTTTAAAGCACTTTAAAGACATTTCCTAATTGATTTATGGCCTGGCAACCCATTTGGAACATGCAACGAGAGTGATTAAAAGGCCAGAAGAACTGATTTATGATGAAAGATTAAGAACGGAATATGATCTGAAACTTGACCAAACAGAGATGCACAGCAGATATCTCAGCCGCCTACAATTACCTGGCCGTGTGGGAACTCCTGAGTGAGGGACAAATTATTTCACTTGGCCATTAGAGGTTTCAAAAGACAAAGTTGATTTTTTTTTTTAAACAAAGAAAAACTCAGCCCAGCAGATTGATTCTCTAAGGCTGTGGGCTGTCCCAGAGAGCTGCAGACTCAAGTTTACTGTAAGACCAAGGTCAAAAGCCAAGAATGGCCTTCTTGTACCTACAGGAAATGTGACCTAAGCCTCTCTCTGTCCACCGTTCCCATCACTGCCCTCCCGTGGCCCATCAGCAGATGATTGTGAGAGGTTTCCCTCTTTTGTGTCTCTGGGAATAAGCTGAGAACCTGCTACACTCAACCTAAGGAAAATGACAACCTGATCCACTGGGGAAGATGCTCTCTGTTAGAAAGATGGTCTATTGGTTATGGGAACCCACACAGGCATTTGTGTGATTCCTTGTTCCAGGTTTTTGGTTAATCAGTCTCTCAGGTTCACAGAAAAGGTTTAATAATACAATCAACAAAATAGCTCACAGATTCTTTATGCTTCAAATGGTTTGGGTTTAATTTTTGTTTATTATTTTAAGAATACATAGATATATTTCTCAGCTCCAAATTATTCATTCATTTATAAATACATTCCCCTAACAACATCAAATGAGTTATTTACTTTGCACACCTTGTGATTTAGCCATTTTGGGGAGACAGAAACGTTTTAAAGAAATAGAAGGTGTGACCATTGTCTGCAAGGAGCTGCGGCTGAGACAGAAGGGACAAAGGGTCCCAAACTCTTCCTATGAAGAGTGAATTTAGCCAATGTGGCTAAATTCTTCTGGGCAGTGAGCTGAGACCTGAGACTCTGGCCGGGGTAGAGTTTTGGGAATTGGAGCTGTGTGGGGAATGGTGCTACCTGTCCTTATCATACAGGATCCTGACCCAGGAGAAGCGGAGCTTGAGAACTATTGGCAAAACAAACACTTTCAACTCCCCAAACATATGATCTCCAAAGGGGGTTACTTTTAGGTAGTAAATAGGTTCAAAAGGATGGGCAGATCCAGAGGAGAACCCGAGGATTCCCAGCAGAGAAGGGAGGCTCTGAAATAGAGCTGTGGCCCGGCTACAAGTGGAAGATGTGCTATGGGGGACGTGGGGGTTGGTGCAAAAGCTCAAAGCCACCAGGTTGCACAGGTCCCAGGAGTTCCGCTGTTATTGTGTTCAATGTGAATGGTGCCCCTGGTGCTGGGGATGCATCAGCTGAAGAGGCTTTGGCAGGGGTTACTGGGTGCTGAGGAGGAGACCTGAGCTTAGTGTTTGGGAAGAGTTTCAGAGGAAATGACATCTAAGTGAATTTGCGATGATGCAGAATTAACTAGACTGAGAAGAGGAAGAAGCAGCTGCAAATGTAAGGGGGTCCTGGTGAATGGCGCCCGAGAGTTGTCCTTGGCGTGGCCTGCAGGTGGCAGAAGGGAACACTGGGGTGTGTAAGGAGGAGTGTACAGAGGAGGCAGGAAGAGGTGAACCACTCTATGGAGATCGTGAACAACACCTGAGAGTGTGGACACTATGAGGAATGGGGAAGCCATTACAGAATTACGCAGGGAGCCCTTTGTCAGAGAATGAAGGGGAAAGAGCACATTGTCAATGGTAGAGAGGATGAAGGTGGCTGAGACCAGTGGCAGGAGACCAGTTAGGAGGCTACTGAAATAATCTAGGCAAGAAGCAATGAAGGTCTGAAAAACACCCCTGTAGTGTGATGGCGAAGCAGCAAGGGCTCCTTGATGCCTTAGTCCAAGTCTGTCTCCTTTTAGATGAATCAGGTCAGGTGTCTTTTAGGTTATGCTGTCCAGGTCACTGCTGGCTAATACATGGAAATACCTGAAAATGTTTCCTTTTTAACTAGTGTGGGCACACGGATTGACAAATATCTACAGCAACAGAACCTGGCATATCCTTCATCATTTGGCAAAATGACTCTGCTTTATTAATAGTGGGAGCCAGTTCATAAGTCTTTGTCGCATTTCTAACAAACATTTCTCCTTTCTCTGGGGTTGATGAATTTGATAAAAATTTGGAGGAGGGTGGGAGGCTTATGTGGAGCATATCACTGATCCCACAGGTCGAGATGCAGATGGATTTTAAGTCACCGGCTCTAATAACATATGACATTACAGGGAGTGATACACACAAAAAATATTGCAGCAGGTCCCATGCACTATACCTACCACAATCTCCTGAGTTTACAGCCTTCCCACCAGGTTCCTAATATAGAGGATTTGAGCCCAATGCTATAAAAGGAATTACACAGCCTCTTCTGAAAAAGTGGTACTTCGATAAATAAGTGGAGGAGCCAGGATATAGGAAACATATAAAAAACCTTCAGAGGGTCAATGAAGCCTTGGGAGACAAAACTCAATAGCTAAGGGACAAGAAACGAAATGGAGTTTTCTTTGTTTTAGACAGAAAATTACAAGGTGCTGTTGGAGGTTATAGCTGGAGTTGGAATAGGCTCTTGCAAGAGTGCAGTTTAACAAGCCAGTGAGGTACCTGACCCCGTCCAAATAAAGGAATCAGAGTTTTGTTGGTTTTTCACCGTGACGAGAAATATTCCACCAGAAAGGTAACTTCAGAGAGAGTGAAAAACGTGTATGCCTTTTGGGTGGTGGTGGCATGGGGATGTACAATTGGCAAAACTCATCACCTGGATGATGGGTGTATTTTACTATTACACTGTATCAATAAAGATAATGTAAGTAATAAAAAAAAAAAAAAAAAAAAAACAAAAAAAAAAAAAGAAAAGAAAAATTCTGACACTGTCCTGGTGGCAAATGAACATGAACTGGGCAGTGAGGCTGATCAGACCTGAGCGGTCGGCACTTCAGGATCACAAACCAGACCTCTCTTGCTTGGAGGTGAGGGCGGGGGG